GCCCCGAACGCAGAGGGAGGACTGCCAATCAGAGAGACCATAAGGAAGCTGAGCAGACAGACCAGTCCCCTCTCCCTCTCAGTCTGCGTACATTAGGTCCGAGTCTTTCTGTCCAGGCAGATTTCTACACGAGGGACTAGAGAGATGACTCAGTGGTTACGAGCACTGGCTGCTCCAGCAGAAGACCCAGATTTGATTCCCAGCACCCACACGGCAACTCACAACCAACTGGAACTCCAATTCCAGGGCCATCGACATCCTCTCTTGGCCTCTGTGGGCACTGCACACATATGGTACAACTACACACTTGTAGACAAAACACTCATACACATTAAAGAATGTAAAAAAAGACCGGGCATGGTGGCGCACGCCTGTAGTCCCAGCACTCGGGAGGCAGAGGCAGGCGGATCTCTGTGAGTTCAAGGCCAGCCTGGTCTACGTAGTAAGTTCCAGGCCAGCTGGGGCTACAGGGAGACCCTGTCGCAAAAAGACCATAAAAAAGTAAAAAAAAATTTTCTACATGAGTGTTCTTTATCAGAACTAAGCTGATAAAATGGGTAATTTTCTTTGGAATGTTGGGTCTTCTGAAGGCCCAGGTGGCAAGTAAAATCTGATACGATGCCTGGCTCTTGGGGCACTGCATGTACATGGGGCACATACATATATTTAGGCAAATATCCATAGTAGACATGAAATAAAAATAAATCTTTAAGCCGGGTGAGGTGGTGCATGGCTTTAATCCCAGCACTTGGGAGGCAGAGGCAGGTAGATCTTTGTGAGTTCGAGGCCAGCCTGGTCTACATAGTGAGTTCCAGGACAGCTGGGGCTACAAGGAGACCCTGTCTCAAAAAGGCCAAAAAAATAAAAATAAAATAAATCTTTAATCCCAGCACTTGGGAGGCAGAGGCAGATGGAGTTCTGTGAGTTTAAGGCCAACCAGGTCAACATAGCGAGTTCCAGGCCAGCTAGGACTCCTGGGAGAACCTGTTTCAAAACAATAAATAAATAAATCTTTAAACAACAACAACAACTGGAGCTGGAAAGATGGCTCATTAGTTAAGAGCATTGACTGTTCTTGAAGAAGACCTGGGTTTGAATCCCAGCACCCACATGGCAGCTAACAATCATCTGTAACTCCAGTTCCAGGGGATCCCAGGCCCTCTTCTGTCTCCCTCAGGCATTACAAGACATGGATGCACTTAACTTACACGCAGGCTTAACACTCACACACATAAAATAATAAAAATACACTTTTAAATTTTTTTAGGGACTCAAGATCCAGTAAGGCTTAAGAACTCTTTAAGCCTGCCCCCAGTGACTCACTTCCTCTAGCAACCATACTTTTTAAAAAATATTTTATTATTTTTATTTTATGTGTATGCATGTATTGTCTTCATGTAGGTAAGTGCAACCGTGTCATGCAATGCCCATGGAGGTCAGAAGAGGCTGTGGGATCTCCTGGGACTGGAGATAGGACAGTTGTTAGCTGCCATGTGGGAGCTGGGATTCAAACCTGGATCTTCTGCAAGAACAACAAGTGTTGTTAACCACTGAGTCATCTCGCCAGCCCCAACAAAAAAAAAAATTAAAGTACAATATTGGGTATATAGTAGGGTCATAAATGTGCTGAATGGATCTATAAAGTGGTATGTTATCTTCAAAATGAGACCTTTGGAAATTAGGCATAGTGGTGCACACCTTTAATCCCAGCACTCTGGAGGCAGAGGCAGATGGATTTCTGTGCAATTGAGGCCATCCTGGTATTCTTAGTGAGTTCTAGGACAGCTGGGGCTACAGGGAGACCCTATCTCAAAAAAAAGAAAAGAAAAAAAACCCCTAAAAACAAAGCAAACGCCCATCACTGGTATCCTAGTTAGCTTTAACTGTCAACTTGACACCGCGTCGTCGTAGAGTCACATGAGCAGGGACTCTCAGCTGAGGGACTTCCTACATCAGAGGGGCCTGTGTGGGCATGTCTGTGGGGGACTGCCATGATTGGTAATTGATGTAGGAGGGCCCAGCACACTGTAGACACACCATTCTCCACATAGGTGGTCTTGGGCTAGATAAGAAAGTGACCTGACTGGGCCTGCACTTGAGCCATCAAGTGGCATTCTCCATGGATTCTGCTGCTCTTCTCTGGCTGTGAGTTCTTCGGTTAGAAATAACGCTGGATGGAATAGTGGGCAGGCCTGACTTCAAGTCCCTGTCTAGAGCTCCTGCCCTGATTTCGCTCAGTAACAAGCTGTTACCTGGAACTGAAGGCCAAATAAATCTCTTTTTCCCCTTATGGTATTTGTCACAGCAACAAGGAAGCTAGAACAGAAATGCATCAGGCTGTCCACATACAATAGAATATTATACAGCAGTGAAAACTACTGATATATGTGGCCACATAGATGAATCTCACAATGTTGAGCAAGAGTATATTTTGTGTGTTTGTTTATAAGAAATTGAAAAGTAGAAAAGACTATCGGATGGATGGTGCTTGGTTATCTCTGGAGGGTCCTGACTGGGAGGGGCTTTGAGGAAAGCTGATGGGCATCTGAAAGTGTATGGAACTGGAAAGTGACTGTACGGAGACAGGAATGTCCCTCAGCTACACACCCCAGAGCAGGCACCTCACTGCATCCAAGCGACACATCAATAAAGAAAGAACACTCAAAAGACCAAAAAACTAAGAGGAACATCTGGAGGGTGACACAGTGGTAGAGCATGCACCTGGCGTATTTGAGGCCCTAGGGATGGATGGACGGATGGACAAGGAGACAGTTAGGAGGAAACCCTGAGACCAGGAATGCAGCTCAGCTGGTAGAAGGCTTGCCTTGAAGACACAAAGTCCTGGATTTAATAACAGCCCTGCCTAGACAGAGCATGGTGGCACATGCCTGTCATCCCTGCACTCAGGAGGTAAGGCCTTAAGGATCAAAAATCCAAGGTCATTCTTGCTACATAGTGACCTCAAGGCTAGCCTGAGCTATGTGAAACTTTGTATCTCAGAGAATTTAAAAAAAAAAAAAAAAAAAAAAAAAAAAAAAGACTGGGCATGGTGGTACAGCCTTTAATCCCAGCATTTGGGAGGCAGAGACAAGCAAATCTCTGTGAGTTAAGGCCAGCCAGGGCCACATAGTGAGACCCTGTCTCAAAAAGAAAAGAAAATGTGTAAGATAGCTCAGTGCTTGCTGCCTTCACTTACTTAAGACCCGAGTTCAATTCCCAGAACCCACCTGGTGGGAAGCGAGAACAAACTTCCAAAAGTTGTTCTCTGGCCTCCACACGCACGCGCACACGCACAGAATAAATAAATGTAAATTGTAAGAAAAGAAAGAATTTTAAAGGATCTCTCATTCTAAAGGGGACGTGGGGATGCAACCAGCAGCTCACCCCTGCCTGCTAAGCATGCTGATAGTAAACTGCAGCCCAGCCCCAAACTGCAATGGCTCCACAGACACACCGTCCAGGTCCCTCTTGAACTGCTGTCACACTGGGCCACCACCTGAAGCCCCTGCCTGTGTGGAATTCGGAAGGTCTACTACACAGAACTCTGAAAGCCTGGAGTGTGTATTTGGGGTTACCGCTCTCAGGAGTAGGCTGAGATCTCGTGAGACATGACTATGCGGCAGATCTCTGAGTGAGGGAACCCAAAAAAAGTCATCTTCCAGACATGGACTCTCTGAAAAGTACAGAGGACTGTCATTAATGTTGTGACACACTAGGGTACCCCAGATAAGGGGCTCTATAGTGAAATTTCTTTTTTTCTTTTTTTCTTTTATTTTTTTTTTCTTTTTGGTCTTTTTGAGACAGGGTCTCCCTGTAGCCCCAGATGACCAGGATTCACTAAGAAGACCAGGCTGGCCTTGAGTTCACAGAGGGCCTCCTGCCTCTGCCTCCCAAGTGCTGGGATTAAAAGCGTATGCCACCATGCCCAGCATATAGTGAAATCTCTTAATATGAAACTCACCAGTGTGACTTGAATTACTTGTGACAAGGACAGGTTACAAGAGAAGAGAATGGGGTACCTGGGGGTTTAGCATGGGGTAGAAGGCTTGCCTAGTATGCATGAGACCCTGGGTTCGAACCCCAGCACTGCAAAAAAAAGTCAGTGGTCACATGTGGTTACAGAGCCCCCCCAATGTGGCCAGTACAGATGAAGAGAAGGAAGTATGCAGAGAAGCCTGTGATCAGTCAAGGGTGCAGGAGTGTTATAAGCCATCGCTCTTCAAGGGACCTGGCCTCCTGCCACAGCCCAGTGGTGCCCCCTCATTCTCCACGAATTGCCTGTCCCTTCTCAGGAACTGCTGGGCCTGACCCTGCTCCCTGGCAGCCCCCTGACCCTACTCGCTTTCCCAGAACTCAGTTGCTTGAGCCCTTAGCCTGCGGTTCTCTCCTAGGCCTCAGCCTTTCCTGCCTTCGACTGAATCGGCAGCATCTTCTAAGCCCTGGGGGCTTCCCCAGGCCCCAGCCCCGACCTAGAACCCGCCCGCCAGCCTGCCTCCCTGCCACAGCCGCTTCCTCTATAAAGGGACTCTAGAAGCTCCGGCAAAGGGCCCGCACAGCAGGTGAGACTTCTGTCCCATCTCCTTGGGCTTCCCCTGGTGACAGGCATCCATCCCGCAGGATCCTGGCTCTCCCTTGGGCCCCAGTCCTCCTGAGCCATCTGCCTGGGCCTGGGCCTTGTGGCTTTGGGTTTTGGTCTGTTCCAATAGGTTGGTCTCTTTCTCTCCACAGCTGTCATCCACTCTGATTCTGCTGTAAGAGCCTTTCCTCTTCCCATCTCCTCTGTCTCCGTCTCTGTCTCTCACCCCAACCCCTGCTAACCTCGGGGACTCCCTGCCAATGTCTTGTCCCCTTCTCTGTCTGTCGCCCTTTCTCTCAGGGTGGTTGGCGGGAGGGAGGTCTGCCTTCCGCTGTGTGCCACGCCCCATTCACTCTCTCTCTCTCTCTCTCCTCTCTCTCTCTCTCTCTCTCTCTCTCTCCCCCTCCCCCTGCAGGTTCTCCCCATGGCACCACCTGGCCGTCTCTACCTCTTGAGGGTGCTTGGCGCCCCCCTCCTCTTCCTCCTGGGGCTGCTGCTGGCCCTGCCCCCAGGGGCCCAGGTGAGGCATAGGAGAGCAAGGGCTGCTGGGGTGGACCAGCCAAAGCAGAGCCCTAGAGCCTCTCCACGCTGTTCTCCCTCAGGGACTCCCTGGTGTCCCCTTCTCGTCTTCAGCGGCCAGTACAGCCCATCAGCACCGCCAGGAGCTTGTGGCACACGGCACCTTCAAACCTGCTGCTCACCTTGTTGGTAAAGTCCCACCTCCAGGCCTGTAGTCAGCCCCGAGACCCAAGTGACCATCCCATCTCCCCCACCACCTTGTCTTACCCCTAAAGACAGAGGCAACCCTCTCCTATCCCCTCACCAACCATCCCAGTTGTCCAGTGACTGCTTCCCCGGAGACAAGGCCTCTGATCTTGACCCCTCCCCTCCCCCATGACTCGTTTTAGGAGACTCCGGCATACAGAACGCACTGCACTGGAAAGCAGACAGGGATCACGCCTTCCTCCAAGGCTTCTCTTTGAACAACAATTCCCTCCTGATCCCCACCAGCGGCCTCTACTTTGTCTACTCCCAGGTGGTTTTCTCTGGGTCAAGTTGCTTCAGTGAGGCCTGTAGTCTTCTCTACCTGACCCACGAAGTCCAGCTGCTCTCCTCCACATATCCCCAGCCCATGCCTCTCCTCAGTGCACACAGGTCTGTGCACCCAGGGATACGGGAGCGGTGGATGTGCTCCATGTACCAGGGGGCTGTGTTCCTGCTCAACAAGGGAGACCAGCTGTTCACCCACACAGACGGAATCTTTCATCTATACATCCGCTCCAGCAATGTATTCTTTGGAGCTTTTGCTCTGTAGTACTTGGAAACATCCAGGGAGGAAAAAGAAGTTGATTTTCAGGCCTTCTAACCATTTGGCCCCACACACCACCTCTCCTTTGCCCATCCCCACAATCTCACACCTTCCCCCACTCAAGTTGCCTGGAGCTTTCGAAGAAGGAATTCCAGGCACTCCAGGGGACCACACCAGATGCTCACCTGAGGATGTCAAGCCTGCCTAGAAAGTTCCTGCAGAGAGCTGTCTGTCTTGTGGGTCTAGGTGGGGCCAAGACCTTGGTGTGGAAAAGCTACAGGCATGCAGGAGGTGGCTGGGGGCAGGGGAAGGGGGCCTATTTATGAAGGAAAAGTTAAGTTATTTATTTATGAAGGATGGAGAGAGAAGAGCAATAGAGACCCATCAGATGAGAGTTCGTTTTGGAGATGAAGGGTGAGACATCAGCACCAGGCTCACCTGGGAGAGAGGGGAGGAGGTCTGAATGACCAAGGGGCTCTAGAAGGAAACACAAGGCTCTAAAAGCCAGCTGCTGCTTGGCTAGATACCCACAAGGAGCCACCGGCACTCTCAATGAAGCCAAATAAACCTCTTTTCTCTGAAATGGTGACTGCTCGTGTCTGTCTGGGGCTGGGGAAGAATCTCTTTGGTCTCTCTAAGGAATGGAGGGAAGGACAGAGGCTTCGGATGGGTCAGGGACTGTGGACAGAGCAAGGAGAGGCAAAGGTGCCTGGGAGCTCGTGGATGTGTGGAGCTCGTGGATGTGTGGCCAACTCATGGGGGTCAGACAGCCTAACTGCTGCAGGAGACCCAAAGAATAAGCTGGAGAGACCAAGGGAAGGGGCTGGAGGGGCTGGAGCCCCTGGAAACAGGTTTCCAGGAAGCCTCTGGAAGGAAGTGACCACAGCTAAGGGTAAAAGAATGTCCAGGACTATGAAGATGGAGGGTGGTACTCTTTGGAAGGTGTGACACCTGTAAGAGGTGGAACCAGGAGTCTGGAATATGACGGACATCTGAGGAGATATGGCCACACACCGAGCCTGTGAGGAAGAGGCTTTGTGGAAAAACTCCCTTTCAGAGTTAAGAGCACTGGCTGCTCTTGCAGAAAACCCAGGTTTGGTTCCCAGCACCCATATGGTGGCTAATAACCATCCATAACTCCAGTTCCGGGGGACCGGATGCCCTCTTCTGACCTCCACAGGCACTACATGCACAGGTGCACTTACATACAAGCAGACAAAGCATTCATACACATAAAAAGAAACTCCCTTGGTGCACGCTTTTAATCCCAGTACTCTAGAGGCAAAGGCAGGTGGATCTCTGTAAATTCAAGGACAGCCTGGTCTACATAGTGAGTTCCAGGCCACCCAGGGCTACATCGTGAGACCCTGTTTCAAAAAAAAAAGGAACAAACCCTCAACCTTGGAAACCAAGACAAAAAGCAACAATGTGAGCCCACAGTGAGAAATAAAAGGAGAAGGTGAAAGCTGTCTTGTGGGGTCCGTGAATTCCCAGGGCTGAGTTCATCTGTCTGGGGCTGTCCCAGACTTGTCCCCACTGCTCCCACCAGCCTGTCCAGAAGTCCTATGCATACCCCTGGCCTTAAGCCGCCCCACCCTCAGCCACTTCCCCACAGGCACCCAGACAGGGCTTCCCTCCTCATCAAGATTTCTTCCCTTCACGTATCCACCCCCATGTCAAGTTCTACCTCCATGTGAGTCCTATCCAGAAATTAGAGGGAAATAGACCTCAGGCATGGTCTCCCCCCAACCAAAGAAACAGAGACAATTAGCGTTGGGGTGGGGGTGGGGGCGAAGTTCAGCTCCCAAGGGTCCTAAACACATTGGTGGGTGGCCCAAGATTACCACAGAATCCTGGTGGGGAGGGGGAGGCGATTCCTTGATGCCTGGGTGTCCCCAACTTTCCAAACCTCTGCCCCCGAGATGGAGAAGAAACCGAGACAGAAGGTGTAGGGGCTACCGCTTCCTCCAGATGAGCTCATGGGTTTCTCCACCAAGGAAGTTTTCCGCTGGTTGAATGAGAGCCTATCCCCGCCCTCCTCTCACCCCAGGGCCTATAAAGGCTGCTGTCTGCTCACCCTGCCAGCAGACGCTCCCTCGGCAAGGACACCAGGGGACCTACCTGGTGGGAGAGAAGCAACTCCAGACCACCGTGGAAATAGCTCCTAGACAAGCAAGCATCCAGCCAAGCAGGTTCTGTTCCTCTCATACACTGGCTCGAGGCTCCACATCACCCTCTGGAAAGGACACCATGAGCACAGAAAGCATGATCCGGGACGTGGAGCTGGCAGAGGAGGCACTCCCCCAAAAGGCGGGGGGCCCCCAGGGCTCCAGGCGGTGTCTGTGTCTCAGCCTCTTCTCCTTCCTGCTTGTGGCCGGAGCCACCACGCTCTTCTGTCTTCTGAACTTCGGTGTGATCGGCCCCCAGAGGGAGGAGGTGAGTGGCTCAGCAGCCTTCACTCTTGTCCAGACAGAAAACAGGAGGAGGGCAAGAGAGGTGGGGTGAGGGAAAGAGGTGGGATAAGCGATGTGGAGGCAGCAGATGGGGAGAGAGACAGCAGAAAGAGAGACACAAATACAGCGTCTCTGACCCATGCACCCAGCTCACTAAACATCTGATCAGGGAATGAATGAATGAATGAGCAGACATACATGCCTAGGCCTCACTGCAGATGTGGAGAGAGATGTGGGGTGTGTGCAGAGGGATAGGGAAGAAATGAGAGATAAAGACAGCGATACAGATAGAGACAACAGGAGATACGAGAGATAAGGAGAGAGATGTGGTCGGCCAGTAGAAGGCATTCACTGGAAGTGCTCTTAAATGGCTGCATGAAGGAATGGATGAATGGAGAGAAAACCAGACACGCGGCAAAGGTTAAAGCTGTGGGCTTCCCTTCGGCGACGACTCCTCGGATACTGACCTTCTTCTCTTTCTACACAGAAGTTCCCGAATAACCTGCCTATCATCAGCTCCATGGCCCAGACCCTCACACTCAGTAAGTGTCCCCAAAGTCTCTCTCTTAATTTAGGGTGCAATTAGACTTGGGATGGAAGCAGTGGGGGTATTTTAGAACTTTGGTTTGTGGGGGAAGGGAATAGAGGTCAGAGTTGGCAGGTATATTCTGGGAAGCTTAAGTGTCATCTTCTTTTCTCCTCAGGATCACCTTCTCAAAACTCAAGCGACAAGCCTGTGGCCCATGTTGTAGGTAAGAGCTCTAAGCGTGTGTCTTGGGGATGACAGGGGAGATGGAGTATGGAGATAGGACTTGGGAGTCAAACCAGACTGAGAGTAGGCAGACCTTGGAGATACTACGTGAAGGGGTCAAAGGGAGGTGGAGGAACGGCAAGGCCTTAAGGGGGACACTCAAGATCTCATGGCCAAATGGGATGTGGGAAGAAAGAGGGTGCAGGAACCAGAAGTGGGGGTGGGTAGAACTTGAGGTTCAGGATGTGGAGAGTGAACTAACAGGGTCACACTGACTCACTTCTCCCTCCCTCAGCAAACCAGCAAGCGGAGGAGCAGTTGGAGTGGCTGAGCCAGCGTGCCAATGCCCTCCTGGCCAATGGTATGGAACTCAGAGACAACCAGCTGGTGGTGCCATCAGACGGGCTATACCTCATCTACTCCCAGGTTCTCTTCAAGGGCCAAGGCTGCCCCAACTATGTGCTCCTCACCCACACCGTCAGCCGCTTTGCTGTCTCCTACCAACACAAAGTCAACCTCCTCTCTGCCATCAAGAGCCCTTGCCCCAAGGAGACCCCTGAGGGGGATGAGCTCAAGCCCTGGTATGAGCCCATCTACCTGGGAGGCGTCTTCCAGCTAGAGAAGGGTGACCAACTCAGCGCCGAGGTCAATCTGCCCAAATATTTAGACTTTGCTGACTCTGGGCAGGTCTACTTTGGGATCATTGCTCTCTGAGGGGGATGGACCTCTGTCTTCTCTCTCCCCTCCCTTACTGTGACCCCTTAACTATCTACTTCTCAGACTCCCACCACCCCCTTCTGACTTAGAAAAGGAATTAATGGCTCAGGGTTGGGCCTCCCAAGCTCAGAATTTTCAACTACAGCACTCAGAAAACTAGGATGCTAGGGTGGTGGCCTGGACTAGCTATCATCAAAATTCAAACTGCGGCTTGCAGACCTCACTGGGCCTCAAATCTTGATTCCTGAATTTTACCTGGGACATCTGGACTTGGGGGAGGGAGCAGGCAGCCTCTGACATGGAACACTCCTGGAGAAGATACTCAGGCCTTCCTTCCTCAGATGTTTCCAGATGTTCCCCTGAGATGCAGTGTCCAGCCCTCCTCACAGAGCCAGGCCCCTCTATTTATGGTTGCACTTATGATTATTTATTTATTATTTATTATTTATTTATTTGCTGATGAATGTATTTATATGGAAGGCTGGGGTGTCCTGGACGACCCAATGTTGGGAACTGTCTTGAGCCAGACATATTTTCTGTGAAAATGGAGCTGGACCATCCAGCTGTTCTCACCTGGCCCCCTGGCTTCAGTGCCTCCAGTTTGCTTATTTCTGAAACAAAATATTTATCTAATCCAGCTGTCTTAATAGCGCTGATTTGGTGACCAGACTGTCGCTACATCGTTCAACCTCTGCTCCCCACGGGAGCTGTGACTGTAATCGCCCTACTGGTCAGTGGCGAGAAATAAAGATGACTTAGAAAAGAAATACTGTCTCTTTCTTGGAATTAATTCTGTACCTGTCTCTCCCTGGAGGTGGAAAATCATTCCCTATCTTCTCTCTAGGAGGCTTAAGATCTCTGGTCTGGACCTCAGCCTTTAAACCCCTGGGTCCATGAGACCCTATGAAACAAAGCCCAGCCACCATGCCCACCGCTCCCCGGAAACAGGAGTCTCAACCTAATTGCCTCTCCCTCTGGGCATGGGAATTTCCCACTCTGGGAATTCCAAATCCCTGCTGGGAAAGTACTGCAGTTATTTCCGGCCGGCTGTTGTGGCTCCACAGACCTGGGGAGGAGCCACATTCTCAGGTACCTGAATCACAGCCAAGGACCTGCCAGAGATTCAGGTGTCTCTGGCCTACAAACACTCACCAACTATGAGACCTGAACCATTCAACCTAATGAACAGAAATAGACCGCACACTGCCCGCAGGGCCCTGAGAACAGAGGTCCCAACCTCTGTCAGTGCCAAGCTCAGCACTTGGCAGGCTAGGCACTGTATCCTGTCTTTCTTTATCCAGCCACCAGCCCCTTGGTCCTCCCGATCCTCTGAAGATGGGAGAGATTGTTTTAAAAAGAAATGGGGAGCCGAGAGCATGGCCTGGCGATAAGGTGAATGCTTAACGTGCAATGCTGTGAGTTCAATACCCAGCACCAAACAAACAGTAAGCAAGGCATAAGATGTGGGTGAAGGAATCATTTGCCAGGTTTGGTTTTTTAAAATAAATTTTATTGGGGCTGGAGAGATGGCTCAGAAGTTAAGAACACTGACTGTTCTTGCAGGAGACAGGGGTTCGAATCCCAGCACCCACATGGCAGCTAATAACTGTAACTCTAGTTCCAGGGGATCCGACAGCCTCTTCTGTCCTCTGCGGGCATTGCACGACACGGGTGCTCTTACTTACATGCAGGCATAACACTCATACACATAAAATAAAAAATAATAAAATATAAAAAATGATAAATTTTATTTATTTTATGTGTAGGAGTGTATTGTATGCATGCATATAAGTGCACCCGTGTTGTGTAATGCTCGTGGAGGTCAGAAGAGGGCGTCAGATCCCCTGGAATTGGAGCTACAGATGATTGTCAGCCACCATGTGGGTGCTGGAAATTGAACCCGGGTCCTCTGCAAGAGCAGCCAGTGCTCTTCACTGCTGAGCCCTCTCTCCAGCCCCTAGCTTTGGTTTTCACTGATCTTTAGGCAAACAATAAGGGGTGTGTGAGGTGCGTGAACTGGAAAGAGGAAAACAACCTTGTTTTTTAAAAAATTACTCAATCACATATGCAGGACCTTGGGTTTGATCCCAACACCAATAATAATAGTAATAACAGTAATAATAATGGCTCAGTAGTACTTATTAAAGCATGGTTAAGGAAGACTTTATTGAGAACCACAGTGATTAGCTCGGAATAACAGTCTGCAGTGGGGAGAGAGGCTGGGCTCAGTTCCAACATGAACAACTGGGTCTTAAGAGCCAAAGAACAGGGTGGGCGTCAGGGGATGGCAAATGACTAAGAGGACAGAAAAATCAGGGTCAGGGGGATTCTGTCTAAACAGATCTGACAGGGCACTTGCTGAGACAGGTGAGGGTGAGCAGACATCACCTGGGGCATGTGGAGGACGACTGAGGGTAATCCAAGGTAGGAGGGGGAGCTTGCTAAACTGACTTCACAGGGCTCTTCACTAAAACTAAATTTGGTGGAGGAGGAGATTCAGAAGACTGACTAGAGTTTGGTCAAAGGATGTTGGTCACACACTCTCACCCCACAGGAAGGCTCTTCTATAGGCAAAGACAGACTATGGAGCTCCAGAGAGTGGTTGGGCTCACAGTCCACTCCTCTTTCACCCAGGTTGCCAGAGAGGGGAAAACCAACCATGTGGTATGCTGCAGGGGTGGCCTGACCCACTGGGGTGACCTAGATAAGGCCTTGGGCTCCCCTCTGCCTCATCCAGCCTGGGCCTGAAAGCCAGTCACGGCGTGGGGGGACTGACATTACTCACCCTAGGGGCCTCACACTTGCCCACTTTGTAGAAGGAGGGCCTGAGGTGTAAACAAAGGGTTAGGACTTTCCATTCCTAGAAGGGACTCCACCTCCACCTTCTCTACCCCCAGACTCTCCAGCTGTCAGCAAGTACCACAGATACCACAGACTCCTTCCTCTCCTTTTACCACCCTTCCTCCATCCTTCAAGGACCTGGTGATTGACTCCTCCTTAGATAACAGCTGTTAGGCAGTCCAGCAGTGACAAGCAAGGGGTCCATAGTGCCATTCTAGAGCGTTCCTTGCTGGGCCTGAGTATCATTTGCCTTCTCTTGTAGTGATTTTGTTGGTGGTGGTGTTTTGGTTTTTTTTTGTCTTTTTGAAACAGGGTCTCCCTGTAGCTCCAGCTGGCCTGGAACTCACTATGTAGACCAGGCTGGCCTTGAACTCAGAGATCTGCCTGCTTCTGCCTTCTGAGTGCTGGGACTAAAGGCGAGCGCCACCACACCCAGCTCCTTCCTGTAGTGATTTTGATTCCTCTAACAGTGGGGAAGGACAAAGGCGAAAACCACAAGGGCCCTCCTTGTGTGTGTGTGTCTTGTGGGAACCAGGTGTCCATGACAATCAGGATGCCTGGAAGCTTCAGGGTTGAAGCTGACCTCTTCTACGAGCTGGCCCTTGGTGTTAGAACCAGGGTCGGGTACAAGCAGACCACCATCCAGTTAGTTCACCCATTCCTGGCACACTGGAGCTTAATTTACATGTTTTATTTTCAACAAGTTCAAAATCAGTTTCCGAAGACTCTACATTATTTTTCCCACAGCCATAGGGTCACCAGGCACCCAGGTCCCCACCACCTGGGCTGACCCACATGTTCACACCAATGTAGTAAGTTCTTCCAAGGATGCAGGCCTACCATCATCCTATCCTCCAGGGATGCAGGTTCACCGTCATCCCACCATCACCGCCCCAAAGAAGGTCTTCCCTCTCCTGTAGTCCACTAAATCGGGGTGACTGATGTTGACGTACACCCTCTCCCCGCTGCGCAGCTGCACCAGGCCTCCGAACCCCACACTGCTGAACCACAGGGACCTGTCCATCGCAGGCATCACGGTCTCTGCACCCTCCAGCAGCAGCTCGGGAAACCCCGGGCCATAGGCACCACCGATCCGGTACAGGGAGCTGCTGAGCGTGAGCGAGGCTGTGCGGCCTCGGCCGGCAGGGGGCGCCCTGCCCCGGTAACCGACGTGACAGTACAGGTAGTAGATGCCGTCCTGCGGCAGTGCCAGCCCCGCGGTGCCCGAGAACTGCACGCCGCTCCTTAGAAACGCCTCCTCTTTGCTGGCCTCCCAGCTGAGTCCCTGCCCGCTCATCCAAGCACCTGCAGAGAGATGCAGGAACGCGGTCCTTTAGCAAACCCAGTGGTACCCAGCGTGGAGGAGCAGGCACAATGGTGCTACCTGCTAAATGGGTATGCTTTGATAGGATGGGGAAGGGGTGCAGGAGCAAGATCCAGGTTGGGTGTTATCTGCTCCCCCCAGAGGAAGTCAGAAAGCAAGAGCAGATGCATCAGGGCTTGCAAAAAAAGAAAGGTTTGCAAAAGGATTTGGGAAACGCAACAGTGGCATAGGATGGCCTAAAGGCCCTCACTGTGGGCATGCACAGTTGGCATCCTGGTGCTATGCACTCACTTGTTAAGAGCCTTACCTATAGCTGGGTGTGGTGGCGCACGCCTTTAGTCCCAGCACTCAGGAGGCAGAGGCAGGCGGATCTCTGTGAGTTCGAGGCCAGCCTGGTCTACATAGTGAGTTCCAGGACAGCTGGGGTTACAGGGAGACCCTGTCTCAAAAAGACCAAAAAAAAATTAAAAAAAAAAAAAAACAGAAAAAGAGCCTTACCTATGAGGTGAGCAGCAGGGAGCTCGGGGCTGAGATCTGTCCTGGGTTTCTCCTTTTGCAGCTGTTGAAACCCTGAAACTGGCACAGAGTCCATCGCTGGAGGCTGGGTGACCACCCGCACATCCTGAGGGGACTGAGTGGCAGATGGGGAATCTGGAGTCCTAGAAGGAGAGGGTATCTGGGGACGCAGAGCGGGGTTAGGAGTCCTTGAGAGGTTAGAGGGTGAAGGCAGGAGGCAAGGTGGTCTGTCGTCATCCAGTCCTTTCTGGGCCTGTGGCCCGGAGCTAGCTGTCTTCTCAACCTGGTTGGGTGAGGTCACAGTGTCTGGAGTCCAGATTCAGCTGATGCCAGTTCCACCCCTCCCACCAGAGACCCAGGCCTCAGGCCTGCAGCACTCCCCAACCCTCCCCGCCCCTCACTGGAAGAGAGAGCAAGCAAAGCTTGTGTACTTGGGCAGGGGCTGAGGGTGTCTTGGGAAAAGAAGACAGGCAACCAAGAAGGGACGTGCGGACATAAGGCTCCGACAGCCTCATTGGAACAGAAAGAGTGAGCAAAGAGGCCAGACATTTCCTCCAAGAGGACAGCCAGACAGCTGAGCCAGGTAGGCAAAACACCCTAAGCCCAGCCCAAGATGAGGGAGCATCCACAAGATGCAGCTCTCTGCGGCCCGTTGCAGCCACTTACCCATCCTCCCTGATCCTGGGGTACCAAGGCCAGCACAGCCAGGACGGTGATAGGCACTGCCAACAGCAAGGTCAGCAGTGAACTTGTTCCTGCCACAGCCAGCAAGAGGCAGCCCCTCCCCAGGGGCCTCCCACCTGGGCTCTGCAGCCCCCTTGTCCCCATCCAGACTCTGAACCAGGGCCAGGGCAGGGGGGGCTTTCATACCTCAGGGGTAGGGCTGCCCCCTCCCTACAGCCCCACACACCTGGCTGGGGACTTTCCACACACCCCTGCTCCCCTCACACAGCTTCCTGTTTACCCAGAGCTGGGGTGGGGCAGCTGGATGCCTGGGTTCTCTGAACTGGGGAAGGAGATGGGGTAGAGGGCGGTTTTCAAGGTTGAGCTGGAGGGGAGCTTAGCTGGGAGGGAAACCGAGGCCCAGGGACGGAAGGTAGTTTGCAGAAGGTGAGGCCTAGATGCGTGCTGCAGGGAGCACTACAAACCCCCCCCCCCCCGCTGGGTTAGGGACTAGAATGGGAAGTCTTCAGGGCTGGGTGTCCGTGTCCCTGAAGAGACCCTGTGCCATACTGGGTGGCCTCTTCCCATTTCTACCCCTAACACTAGGTGGAAAAGGCAGAGTTAAGCCAGTCCTAAGTGATGGCAGCTTCATGAAGGGCCTCAGCCTGGCCACTGACCGCTCCCTCACTGAGGAAGGACAGACATAGTGCCTCCTCCCTTATTACAAAGAATAAAGACAGCAAGACAGCACGGAGGCACACCCCACCTCGACAGCTACGGTCTAGAGTAAGCCTGATCCATTAGGAAGTGTTCAGTAAGGGTTTGTAATGAACAAAAGGATGAATGGACGGGTAAGCAAAACAGCAGGAACTGAATTAACAGAAGAGGCGGCAGGTGGGAAAGCTGAGGGGAGACTAGGTCCAAGGAAGCTAGACCCCGGTTTCATGCTGGAAGAGGGGTGTCATTTTGTTCAGTGATATCACTGCTGATAAATTGCCCATGCAGTAAATAATCCCCTACCCATGCTCATGCAGGCAATCCGAATTAATCTCTGGGTCAAAAAAAGATAGAACAATGGGTGTGGTAGCACACTCCTGTAGTCCCAGCACTAGGGAGGCAGAGGCATGTGGATCTCTGTGAGTTCAAGGCTGGCCTGGTCTACATGTCAATTTCCAGGACAGCTGGGGCTACAGGGAGACCCTGTCTCAAAAAGACCAAAAAAATTTTTTTATTTATTATTTTCATTTTATGAGTGTTTTGCCTGCATGTAAGTGCACCATATGTGTGTAATGCCCCCACAGAGGCCAGAAGAGGGTATTGGCTCTCTTGGAACTGGAGTTATGGACGGTTGTTAGCCACCATGTGGGTGCTGGAATGAAACCCAGGTCCTCTGCAAGAGAGGGAAGTGTTCTTAACCGCTGAGCCATCTCTCCAGCCCTGATCTACAGTCTTTAGTATATTATTCATTTAATCTTGACCAAAAAACCCTAATAAGAAACTGAGGCACAGGGAGGTAAAGGAACTTGCGGATGGGATGGGTGTGTGGTTCATTGACATGGTGCTTGACCACTGGTGTGCGGGATAACTTTAGTGTCAACTTGACACACCTGGGTTGAGGGAGCTTCAACTGGGGAACTGTCTCCATAGGACTGGCCTGTGGCAATGTCTGTGGGGCATCTTCTTGATTGACAAGTGCTGTGGGAGGGCCCAGCCCACTGTGGGTGGTGCCACCCCTGGGCAGGTGGGCCTGTGTTGCATAAGAAAGCAGGCTGAGCAGGGGCCAGGGGAGCAAGCCAGTAAGCAGTGTTCCTCCATGGCTGTGCTCCAGCTCCTGCCTCCAGGTTCCTGCTCTGAGTTCCTACCTTGGGCTCCCCAATGAGCTGTGACCTCGGAGATGTAAGACAAATAAACCCTTTCCTCCCCAAGCTGGTATTGGTCAGAGTGTTAGTGTTTTGTCACAGCAATGGAGAAACAAACCAGGACAACTGGGTTTGATTAAAAAAAAGAAGAACAGAAAAAAACCCAAAAACCCAGTACTAACTTCAGATTTGTACATTTTACTATATGCAAATTTTATCTTCCTCAGGCAAGAAAAGAAATGAGGAAACAGATACTGAACTCGAGCGAGTGACCACCATGCTGAGCAGTCTAGAGGCGGCATGTAGTGACCTTCGCAACGCTGAGAGATTGAGAGATGGAAAGGGGCCTGGGGAAGTGGTTCAGTGGGTGCAGCGCTTGCTTAGCATGCGCAAAGCCCTCTTGGTTTTGATCCCCAACACTGCACAAACTGGGTGTGGTGGCACATGCCTGTAATCCCAGCAAGACCATCAGGAAGTTCAAGGTCAGCTACGTATGGAAGCCAGGCGAGGTGACATATGCCTTTAATCCCAGCACTTGGGAGGCAGAGACAGGTGGGCCTCTATGAGATCAAGGCGAGCCTGGTCTACGTAGTGAGTTCCAGGTCAACTATGGCTACAAAGAGACAGTTTTTCAAAAACCAAAACCAAACAACCTGCATGTGAAGTTTGATGCCAGCTTGCCCCACTCCAAAATAAATAAATAAAAAATGAAATGGGTATGTGATTTACGAAGGGCACTCGTAGGTCTAGGTGAAAAGGATTTATTTGTATGATTCTTTCAGTTTTTCTAGATGTTTGAACTTGTGTGGATGTATGTGTGTGGGTATAATTTGTGTATTTCTATGCACCTGTTCTTGTATGTGAGTGCAGGCACGTGCATACCACACGTGTCGAAGTCAGAGACAGGGGCTATTTGTTGCTGACTGCCGCCCAGCCCAGGCAAGGTGGCCCATGTTCCGCCCCCTGTCACTGCCGCCTGTCCCACAGCTGCACTTCAGAAGTGGCTACCATGGTTTATGGGTTCTGGGGATTCGAACTTAGGTCCTCACTCTCCCACCTCAGGTGCTTTGACCCACACTCATCCATCTCCTTAACTTGATGTTTCAGGTTCGTTTGTTTTGAGACAGGGTCTCCCTGTAGCCCCAGGTGGCCTGGAACTAGCTACGTACACCAGTCTGACCTCCATCTCACAGAAATCTGCCTGCCTCTGCCTCCCGCGTGCTGGGACTCCAGGTGTGCACCACCGCTCTTGGCATGTTTGAGCTTTTTTTTTTAAATGTTTTATTATTGTTATTTTTTATGTGTATGTATCACCTGCATGTAGGTAAGTGCACCTGTGTCGTCCAATGCCCCAGAGGACAGAAGAGGCTCTTGGATCCCCTGGAATTGGAGTTACAGACAGTTGTTAGCTGCCACATGGGTGCTGGGATTCGAACCCGGGTCTTCTGCAAGACCAGCCAGTGTTCTTAACCGCTGAACCATCTCTCCAGCCCATGTTTGAGCTTTTTAATAATAAAATATAAATTTAACATAAAATACATATATTTAAAATACCTAAATTGGGGATGGAGAGATGGCTCAGTGGTTAAGAGCACTGACTGTTCTTGCAGAAGACCCAGCTTTGAATCCCAGCGTGTACACGGCAGCTAGCAACTGTCTATAACTCCAGTTCCAAGGGATCCAACAGCCTCTTCTGTCCTCAATGGGCATTGCACGACACGGGTGCTCTTACCTACATGCAGGTATAACACTCATACACATAAAATAAAAACAATAAATTTAAAAATAAATAAAAATTAAAATACCTAAATTGTGTAAACATTTAGGGAAACATTTTAGGGTGGCATAGGAAAAGGAAGTAGAAAGTTCCTGATTATGGACAAAACACACATGGATGGGGGCTGGGGAGATGGTTCGGCAGTTAAGGATTAAGAGCTCTTGCAAAAGACCCCCACAGGTCTCTACAGTTCCCAGAACTCACGTCAGAGGGCTCATAACTGCCTGTAACTCCAGCTCTAAGGGAGTCTGATGCTTCTGTAAGCATCTGCACTCGACATGCGCAAACCCACACAGAGACACACAGACACATAATTAAAAATAAAAGACATCTTTTTAAAAAAACATATGGATGTAAGCTGGGCGTGGTGGCGCACGCCTTTAATCCCAGCACTCGGGAGGCAGAGGCAGGTGAATCTCTGTTAATTCCAGGCCAGCCTGGTCTACATAGCCAGTTCCAGGCCAGCTGGGGCTACAGGAAGACCCTGTCTCAAAAAGACCCAAAAAAACCCATATGGATGCAGACACTAGATCTCTTCACCCCCTGCCTCCACCTGAACCATCAATCTTTACTCTCCTCAGAATCTCAGGGTGCCACCCTCCAGCACCCCTCCTCCTCGCTGACATAGTGCTACTGAGCCTTTACCCAGGTTGCCTTTCCGTGGACTGTTGCCTTAGTTCTGTGCTCACCACTACTCTATCTGTCAGCAGTGACCAACAATCTGATCTGGCTGCCTCTGACCATCCTGCTTGTTAACAGCCAGCCAATATCCTTCTGGATATAGTTGTTGAACTCTGGGAGTCACCCCAGAAACCTCGGAGCTGTGTCTGTTGCTGGAGCTACTGGGGTGTGTATGTCTGTACACAAACACCAAGATCATGAACTCTCAGCAGATGCACCATGAAGGGTATCTGGGGACAAGTTTATCAGGGAAGGTGGCTACTTCAGGATGACTGGAGCCGAGCTGGAGACCACCCTGGTGACACCCAGGAGCCTCAAAGAAAAGATGCTGTGACTCCATCAGGGTTACACTCTGTATTCTAGATGCTGGGGAGGCTTGGAGGCAGGGATAACAGAACTGGAGGAGGGGCCGGAGTGCCTGAGGTGGCGGTTTCTTTCCTGCCTGGGTGACTCTCAACAGTTGAGTCCCATTTGCAAGCCACAGGCTCTGGGTAAGCTGGGAGTCAGCAGGGATCCTGGCTGGGGAAACCATGCCAGGGACACCCTTAAGGGAGGCTAGGTGGAGTCAAGTATGGATTCACGGGTCCCTGAGATTCTATCCTCTGAGTTCCTGAGTCTTCTCATTCCAAACAAGGTAAAACCCTCTACAGGGGAAGTGGTGGCACCCTGTCACATCAGCGCTTTGTAGGCTGGGGTAGAAGGATAGAGAGGTGGAGGCCAGCCTGGGCTACATATTTTGGAAACTCTGTTTCAAATAATAATAATAACAATCATCATCATCATCATCATCATCATCATCATCATCTACTGTGTTTCTACTTCCTCACAGTTACCTCAGGGCCGCCTCCCCTCCACCTGGGCCTAGGTTTCCCCACACCACAGTATCCCTTTTAAACCCAGGAGGCTCTTGGTTTTAAACTGTAATCCCTACATCTGGTTCTTGGGCTAAGTTAGTGGCCTTCTCTTTTTGCCCTCAAACAGGAACCAGTGGTTGAAGGGCAGGAAGTACCTGAGGAGAAGTTAAGGCCCCCTCCAGGGAACCCCCTTGCCCCCATTTTTCCACACCGGCCAAATAGGCTCCACTCTCCTGGGGACACTGGATACCCTCCTGTGTACTTGTACAGGGGTCCACACACCCACTTCCGACCTTAGGTTCCCTCTGTGTATCAGTGCCTCTCACCAGCACCCAGGGTCACGTGTGCTGCAGGCCCCCTGTAAGCATGGGGCAGAGGGCAGCGACGGGGACTGGGTAGCCGAATCCTGGCTCTACCACTTTTAGGCTTCCCTTGTTCAAGTCCAGCCTTGAGGCTCAGACTCTTGGCCTGGGAAAGGGCTGCCGTTTGCCTTATGACAAATGGAAAGCGCCCAGCTCAGTGAGGACAAGGATTGTAATGGGGCCCCTGGCCTCACAAATGAGGAACTTGAGGCATGTGACTAGCCTAGGCCATTAAGCCCAGAAGAGCAGGGGTTAGCTGTCTTAACCTTCAGGCCAGCTCTCAGTCCCTGGACTATGTCATATCACATCCGTGACTGTTTCAAACGGGGTAAGTAGGGAATACCTCCCCTCTGCAGGAAGGATGTGGGTGCTGGGGACTAAGGGATGAAAAGCAGTGTCCAGCTGGACGTGGTGGCGCACACCTTTAATCCCAGCACTAGGGAGGCAGAAGCAGGCGGATCTCTGTGAGTTCAAGGCCAGCCTACTCTACATAGTGAGTTTCAGGCCAGCTGGAGCTACAGAGAGACCCTGTCTCAAAAAGTCCCCCCAAAATAAAAGAAAAGCAGTGTTCAGGGCTGACAGGATGTGGTCAAGACCCCTGGGGACCAGCCAGTACAGAGACTTCTCGAAAGTCCCAGCAGGAGTTGTGGTGGGGAAGCCTCTGGAGGACCAAGTGGTCTCTGATTTTTAGGCCAGGTGACTGTGGAGAGATGTCAATCTCTCTGGAAGGAAGTGAGAATGAAATCTAGCATGAAGAACCTCTCTGGTGCACACCTTTAATCCCAGCACTGGAGAGGCAGAGGCAGGCAGATCTCTATGGGTTCGAGGTCAGCCTGGTCTACATAGTGAGTTCCAGGCCAGCCAAGGTTACATAGTGACTGTCTCAAAAACAAAAAAAAAACAGGTAAACAAACAAACAACAACAACAACAAAAAAAGGAAAAGCAAAGAATCTCTCTGAGTGGCTGGGGATATATAGCTCAGAGTGCTAGCCTAACAGACGGGAAGCCTGGGTTCGAGCCCCAGGATTACATAAAACTGGGCATCGTAGTGTATGCCTGTAATCTAGGCACTCTGGAGGCAGAGACAGGTGGATCTCTATGACTTCCAGGCCAGCCTGGTCTACATATCAAGTTCCAGGCCAGCTGGGGCTACAGGGAGACCTTGACTCAAAAAGACAAAAAAAAAAAGATCATGAATTACTGATCTGTAGTGACTTCAAGAAGATTGAGGATCAGCCTGGATTACATGAGACCTCATCTCAAAAAGAAGACTCTCTCTGAGAGCATTTTCTTTTTCTACCTCTAAAATTGTTAGAGGATGGTAGAGCCTAGCATGCACGAATCCTTGGCTCCAGTCCCCAGTACTGCATAACCCAAGCATGGTGGTACACACCTGTCATCCTAGCACTCTGGAGGTAGAGGCATGAGAATCAGAAATTCAAGGTCATCCTGGGCTACAAAGTGAGTGTGAAGCTAGCCTGGGACATGTGAGACCCTGTCAAAAAAGAAAGAGCTAGGCATGGTGGCACATGCCTTCAATCCCAGCACTCAGGAGGCAGAGACAGGTAGATCTCTGTGGGTTCGAGGCCAGCTAGCCAAGGCTACATAGTGAGACCCTGTATCAAAATAAGAAAGAGAGAGGGAGATGGGGGGGGGAGAAGACATAAAGCATAAAGGTGGGAAGGCCACATGTTGGGGGATCTGGGGAGAGTGGGGGCTGTTGTGGGTGGATGTGACCAAGATACTTTGGATATATGTATGAAATGCCAGAGAATTAAAAAATTAGAAAAGAGAAGAGCTTCGTTGGAGGAATTGTGACACTCCCGACCCGAGGCTGGGAAGCTGAGGGGACAAGTGGATCCCCTCACAAGCACCTCTCTTCCCTACAGAGTTCTGCTCTTACCTGTGGTACGGGAGCTTGGGGCTGGGAGGGCTGCTAACCCTGACTGTCATCATTCTGTCCATCTGCCTGTACCGGTTCCATCAGAGAGGTGAGTCCCACCGGCACCCCCACAGCTTGTCCTCTCGCACCTTGCCACTGTTGGTGCTGAACTCCCCAGTAGTCCTGACACATCCTGGTATAAGGATAAGAGCCTGGGGCTGGAGAGATGGCTCGCTGACTGTTTTTGCAGAAGACCCGGGTGTGTTAGCACCCACATGGCAGCTAACAACTGTCCGTAACTCCAGTTCCAGGGGATCCGACAGCCACTTCTGTCCTCCGTGCGCATTGCATGACACCAGTGCACTTACATGCAGGCAATACATGCATACACATAAAATAAAAATAATAAATAAAATAAGAAAAAAAAAAGAGCCTGGTGGGAGAGGCCAGAGAAGGGTCTATAGGACCTGAGCTTTGACTGTGGTTCCCCTGGCAGTCAGCAAATGAGAAGGGGGTGGGGGTGAGGAAGGTGGAAAAGTTGGATGGGGGGCTCTGCTGGAATTGGGGAGCCTAAGTGGGGAGTGGTGTTGGGGTGGGGAAGCCTGAGTGGGTTTGTTGTGCTGGGGCTGGGGAGCCAGGTGAGGGGCTGTGCTGGGGTGGGGGAGCTGGGTAGAGGGTTTTGCTGAATCACTTCTTTTCTTCCAGTGAAGAGGCTGGAGAGGAGCGAGGTAAGTCTGGTGGTAGAGGAGGAGGCTGGGAAAGCCCAAGTGGGGAGTGGGGCTGGGTGGGGGAGGAAGCCAAGAGAAAAGGGAAGAGGAAGTCGGAGCTTGAGAGAGTCAGAGAGATGGAGAAAATGAGAGAGGCAGAAAGAGAAATAAGACAGGAAGAGAGGGAAGAAATGATGGGCTGATAAAAATATAAAATAACATTGGGAGAGGGAGGG